GGGTTTCTCTGTGTAGCTTTGCGCCTTTCCTGGAACTCACTTTGGAGACCAGGCTGACCTCGAACTCACAGGGATCCGCCTGCCTCTGCCTCCCGAGTGCTGGGATTAAAGGCGTGCGCCACCACCGCCCGGCAAAATAAATTATTTTAAAATGTACTTTTATCTGTATGATCTGTTGCACGTGTGCACTGTGTTAATATTTTAAATTATTTTTATAACAATTTTTATTTATTTTGTGTGCTGAGGAGTGCAACTGCCCACATGTGGAGGTCAGAGGACAACCTGTGTGAGTCAGTTCTCTTTCCACCATGTGAGGCCCGAGCTGAGCCATCTCATGGCCTGAGATATACAGCCTAAATGGTTACCTCCAGGCACCCTACTGTGGGACAGTGTAGCAGAATTCCTCATGCTATCTAAATACCACTGACCAACTTCTGTCCATCCCCCACTCCGCAGGCACTTTTACACTTCCAGAGACCTACTGTCAATGGACTGCATTGAGATACACTTTTCTGTGTGGCATGGTTTAGGTCATATACCATACTCCCTCCAGAAAAGCTTCATGCCGGATGGTAGTGGCTCACGCTTTTAATCCCAGCAATCAGGACAATCAGGAGGCACAGGCAGAGGTCAGCCTGGTCTACAAGAGTGAGTTCCAGGATAGCTAGGGCTAAGCAGAGAAACTGTGTCTCAAAAAACCAAATGAAGAAAAAAGAAAAAAGCTTCACGGGGAATGGGTTCCACTTGGGAATAATTACTAATTGCAAACAGTGTGGGTTACTAGTGTGTGCTTCTGAGAAACGGGATCTCTAAGGATTGTGAATGTGGCTCATAGGCTATTGCTTGTTTGCTTTTGTTCTATGGTGAGGCAGGGGACTGGAGGGAGGCTCTAGGAACTTGCAATGGATAATGTATCAAGCATATATGCTCAGGTTTCAGCCTTCAGATAGGCCTGGCTTCCTTGATTTCTGTTAGCGCTTGACGCGCGAGTCCATGTAGACTGACCGTTCGCACAGTGCACCAGAAGCGCAGAGCAGCACAGACTGTGAACACAGCCTCTGCGCTCACAGGACCCAGGCTTCTGGTCTTCCCGCTAGACAACCAACATTAATTACAGGAGCGTGTTGGCCTGCCCATTTTATCAAATTCTTCTGTCACATACACATCACATCATCGTATTTGCCCTAGAGTAGCTCCCCGGAGAGGACAGACAGGGTGGCCATGCTTTTCTACATCAGCTGAGAGGTGCCACAGTCTGGTCGCACATTTCTAATAAAAGTTCAGACTGTGCAGAGCACTTACTTTTTGGTCATGTCTGGAGAACTTCATTCAGACACCAGTTACTCATTTCTAGGAATCAACACACACAGATTCTGATAGTTCCCTCTGTCCGCCCTCCCACTCCACATGCTGGCTACTTCACCCAGAGGTGAGAAGCCCCTCCACCCTCCTGTGAAACTGGCCCCGTGTGACACAGCTGCTCTCGTGCCCTCCTGCCTTCCCTCACAGGCCTGCTGGGGACTGAGGCAGAAGGTCCTGACCTGTGAAAAGGAAGCAAAGGGCGTTTTCTCTTGCTGTGGGGCTGCCCTCTTTCTTTTGTTCTTAGAGCCACTGGAGTTCCAGTGCACAGTGAGGATTTGGAAGAGACATCCGTATTCAGGATAGCAAAGCACACAGGCCCAGTGAGCTTGTAGCCAACAGCTCAGCAACGAACGGCGAGGCAAACTGTGATGAGGAAACACATGGGATGCAGCAACTTACCGTTGCCACATTCAGTAGTTCTCTTTCATCTAATTTTCCCATAATGAAATAAAAGTGAAAAAAAAAGCAAGGCCAGAAGAGGGCCTGGGGTGCAGGTGGTTGTGAGCCTTGACGTGGTGCTGAGACTCGAACTTGAGTCCTCTTAAAGAGCAGCCCGCGATCTTAGCCACTGAACCATCTTTCCAGCCCCAATCTTGAAAACTCTCAATGCTTGTTTTCTAGTGATTCCATTGTATTTATTTTTCTTTGTACTCCCATTTCAAATAAACGCTTGTGCTGCTCTTCCAAGCTTCTGCTAGGTGGTTTCATGTACACTGCGCCGTTCAATTTTCCCTAGCATCCGGATCCATCCTACCGACCCATCTTCCTGTGCACTTAACCTTCTTGTTTCTAGCCTGTTAACCTCATCTGCTGAATGATCTTCAGACATTGTAAGTTTGGTATCATTTCTCTTGTGTTTATTCCTCAGTGTAATTCTTATTTATTTTAATGTATCCTATTCCTATTTATGTGTATGTAGGGGTGGTGCCTGCAGAGGCCAGAAAAGGCTATCGAATCCCTTGGAGCTAGAGTACAGATGGTTGTGAGTCACCTGACCTGGGTGCTGGAAACCAGAGTCCTCTGGAAAAGCAGCAAGTGCTCCTGACCGCTGGGCCATCTTTCCAGTTCTTCTAAGACTTTTTGTTTGCTGTTTGTTTGTTTGTTTGTTTGTTTGAGACAGGGTTTCTCTGTGTAACAGTCCTGGCTGTCTTGGAGCTCGCTTTGTAGACCAGGCTGGTCTTAAACTCACAGAGACTCACCTGCCTCTGCCTCCCAAATGCTGGGATTAAAGGCACATGCCACCACCACCTGGCTTAGTTCTTCTAAGTCTTAAGATTTAGTCACTGGCTTAAAAAAAACCATCTATACGGGATGAGGGAGATAGCTCAGAGGTGACCTGAGTGATGGGGAGAACAAACTCCTGTGCCTCCCATGTGTGTATCCTGGCACCCCCTCCCTGTATAATAAATGCAGTCATTTTAAAAAAGAATCGCTATGAAGATTTTGGGAGCTTTCTTCCCTAGAAGCCTCCTTCTCTGTGGTTTGTCTTTCAAATGTGCTCTTGTGGCAGGCAGCCCTGAATTCCTTATTCCTCTACTTCCTCTTCGGTCCGCTATTCCCAAAGCACCTGGAGAATAGGAAGTGCTCTGAGGGAGCTAACAAAGGGGGCGCTGGATCAGGAGATGTCCTCACGCCCCTGGTCACACCAGCTGCCTCCAGTGCAGGCACCCAGTGAGCCAGCCGCCAGGTACACAGTTGATTTTCTCACTCACTACCTAGATGTGAACTGCTCAACTGTGGTTTTGGTCTTTTTTACAATATTTCTTGTCTGGTATTCCCCTTCCTCCAAATGTACCTGACAGTGCTCAACTTCAAACGAAATGTACATTCATCAAAAGTGGTATTTCTGAACAATTTGTTTAAATTTTATGTGTATGGGTGTTTTGCCTGGTTGTGTGCCTGGTACCTGTAGAGGCCAAAAGAGATTAGGATGCACTGGAGCTGGAAATGGCTTAGTGGTTAAGAGCACTGGCTGCTCCTGTGGAAGACCTAGGTGTGGTTCCCAGCACCCATGTGGTGGCTCACAGCCCATCTAGAACTCCAGTTCCAGGGCATCCAGTGCCCTCTTATGTCTCCCGAGGGTGCCAGGCACAAACAAGGTAAGCATACATACTATAAGCAAAACACTCATACACATAAATAAAAACAGCATTTTTTAAAAGTATATATAAAATGGTTGTGAGACATCATGTGAATTCTGGGAATCAAACCCAGGTCCTCTGGAGAGTAGTCAGTGTTCTTCACTGTTGAGCCGTCCACCTCTCCAGTCCCTTGAACAAATTTTATCTGAACAACAAAACAAGGTATGACAAATGTTGAAGAAAAACTCCAAACTACATCTAATGCCAAGTAAATGTCAAATGTCAAGCTCCAAACTTTGTCTAATGTACGTATGTAGAACCCCAGAGGTGAGTATACGTGTACATCTGTAGATATGTAAAACCCCATGTGTGTGTATACATGCACATCTGTAGATATGTAGACCCTCATGTGTGTATACATGCACATCTGTAGATAAGTAGACCCTCATGTGTGTATACATGCACATCTGTAGATATGTAGACCCTCATGTGTGTGTACATGCACATCTGTAGATATGTAAAACCCCATGTGTGTGTATACATGCACATCTGTAGATATGTAGACCCTCATGTGTGTGTATACATGCACATCTGTAGATATGTAGACCCTCGTGTGTGTATACATGCACATCTGTAGATATGTAGACCCCCCATGTGTGTATACATGCACATCTGTAGATATGTAGACCCTCATGTGTGTATACATGCACATCTGTAGATATGTAGACCCTCGTGTGTGTATACATGCACACCTAACATAAGAAAATTAACAAAACTGTTAATTGGTTATTCTAGATCATAGAAGTTTTTCACATTTTAAAACCAATAAAAGTACTAATAGTTATTTGCATGTAATGGTATTATATATTTTATTTCATATTTTTCTTTTTTAATAATTATTTTTACGTAAGGTTGTTGTTGTTTTTTTTTTTCCTTCAGTATGTGTATGTGTACCTTGTTTGTACCTAGCACTCACAGAGGACCGAGGAGGGCACTTGATCCCCTGGAACTGGAGTTAACAGATGGTTGTAAGCCACCATGTAGGTGCTGGAAACTAAACTCAGGTCAGTGCTCTTAACTACTGAGCTGTCTTTCCATCACCTATATTCTTTTTCAAAAAACATTTTTCAGATTTTCTAAAATACAATACTACATTTTTAAACAAAAACCTTTGTACAACAGAAAGTTCTTCATGGCCTAAGAAGTGTTATTCTGTCCACTGATCATGAGCACAGGAGTGGCTTCAACTATGGAGCTTTAATAGTTACTTCCAATGGGTAAGGTTCAATTAATCAACAAAACAGAAAACCATGGGCGGAGGGCAGGTTCACTGGTCCTGAATGAGCCTGAGTACTGCTCCTGCAGAGAACCTGAGCTGTTGCCAGCATCCACGTCAGGAGGCTCACAACCCCTGTAACTCCAGCTCCAAGGGATCCAACGCCTCTGATCTCCATGCATACCCACAAACACATAATTTAAAAGATGTCTTTATAAATATAAATAATGCAGGGGTCATAGAACAACAATAAATCATAATAAAAGTCAACCATCCAGGAATCGAGTGGAAAATGAGTTTAATTGTGAGACTGGGCAGTGTACAGAACAGTTTCACCCATTGATTTTGACAGTGCATCACCACTGCACACATCTGGTCAATTGACACTAACACTGGAAATGTCTGGTTCTAGTTTCTTCCTTCCAAATCCTTCATAATTAGGAAAAACCTGTTAAGAAAATTTTAAAATGATTTTTCCAAAAGGTTTTTATAAGCTTCATGACATTCTTTCTGACCACACAAAGGATGTGTCTTAATTAACAAGTTTGTACAATCTCACTTGGCTTGATGATAATACTGGACAATCCTGATGAAGACAAGCTCCAAAAGAAAAACCTTCCATGTTACCACCACTAGCAGACCACGCTGAAACCTTTAACTCATTCCCACCTTGGCGTAAATACCTCCTAAAGGGCCTCTATCCATTTACTTAATTTCCCAATCATAGAAATCAACACAGAGTATCTTCAAACCCATCATAAATGCCAACATTGTATCTTTTATTTTCTATCATGTAATTTTAAACCTCAAGACATCGACAGCTAACAGAGTAAGACATTCAGCATGAAAAGACAGTACTATGCTCAAGTCTGCAGATGAGTTCATCGAGGTGAAGGAATGCAGTGTACCACTCTAATATCAACTCCTCTTTTGTTCTTTGTAACGACAGCTCAAGTGTATTTCTAAAATGTTTCACTTGTAAACAACAAGAATCAAAATGGACTATGAGGCAATCAACTACAAATAATTTTAAAATACTAGATAAAACACTGTATTAAAGACATATAGAAATCAGGGTTCACTTTGGTCTTTATATGGCTAGAGTTGTTAACACCACAAAACCACACACACACTAATTAAAGCCAGCTTGGTGGTAGGTGCCTGTGGCTGATAAACACTGACTGACGAGGTAGTCCACACCATCCTTTTCAAGCTGGGAACTGACAAGGGGTAAGCCACAGGCATATTAAATATTGGAATACTTTCTTACAGTACAGTACATTGCTCCAAGCATAAAGATCCACAATGAGCCATAGGTCACCCTATCACGCTAATGAACAACTAGGTCACAACTCACACAGGCACATCTTGAAGAGGCTGTTGACAGTATGTAAGACAGAACTGGATGCTTTCAACAAGTTGTTCTTTTTCTAAAACAAATAAATCTCATTAAGACATCTAGAAAAGTAAAGTCGGCACAGCTGCACTTGCACATAGTTTCCTGGATCTTATACCAAAGGTGAAATTACATATATATTTTAAGATAAACATTTCTTAGAGAGAACAGATAAATTAATTTAAATTAACTTTAAGACCTAATGAGATCCCCACATCCTGGCTAATTCATCTTACAGTGAATGTTACACAGTCTATTAACACTTGGGGGCTTCTATTCACACACTACATACAGCCAGCGGCAACTCAGGCCTGCACTGGTGCAGAATCAATCTGAGCCGGAGTACAAAAATAATTGGCAATAAAAACATCCTATATTTGGGAGGTGGACTGATGCTAATAATGTGATGTCTTTATCTTTTCCTTTAGATTGCACACTAAAATTTCCACGTTATAAGCAGATAAAAATCTTCCCAAATCTTTCATTTGTAAAAATACATCCAAAGAATAGAAATGCAAGTATAAAAATGTCTCCACTATGACCTGCTGTGTAGAGAATGAGTAGTTCACAGGCTAAAAGGCTGGTAGTGCACCATTTTTAGAAATTACATTTGTGTTGACATGACAGGGGGTCAAAAGGTGGCTCAATTCATAGACCATCGCTGCACTGTTAGGAACCCCTGAAAAAATGGTGCTCCCCAGACCCTTCCCTCCTGGCTGGCAGTGGCCCTGCCCTCTTCGTTCCCTCCACGGCAGCTGGTGCTGGTTGGTTATGTGCCTGGGGCTTGGAGGCTGCAGTGTGCTTCGCCACCAAGACAGCAAAGATACAAGTGGAGGGGGTAGGAGTCTTTATTCACTTGTCAGCAAATTACAAACACCACGTTTGCTTCTGTTAGCCCTCCTGCCCCCACCTCTGGGCAACAGAGCTATTGTCAAGATTATTTCTGTGTGGTTTTGCTTAGGATAAAGAGTGCCTATACTTCCTTAAACTCAATACATGATAACTTTAAGGAAATGCTTGGAGACTTTGCTATCTAACATGAGAAGTCCTATTATTCAAAGGCATTTTCCAGAAACATGCAGTTGTAAATGCCTATCTATGCTACAGATTAAAAGTGTCTGTACCAGAGAATTACCAGCAGCCTACAAGGCTGCAACAGCATCAAGGTGTGCTATGTAGGAGCTAGGAGGTAGCCATGTGCTGTAAACGGAATGTTTCACTCATGTGAATGAGCAAAGTGCTCATATCAGTGGATTCACATCTGCAAGGAGTGGAAGAGTTTTGCTTTACAAGGTTTTTCACATGAAATAAAAACAGGAGGACCAACATCTGATATTCAGAATTATGATCAATGTCAAACTCAGAGGTAGTTACCAACAAGTACATGTACGTACATAAAGACCTAATTTATTTGGCTTGTTTTGAGTAAGCAGGACTATAGACTAGTCTGTAAAAAAACAATAAAAACATTATATTGTAGGTTCCCTGAGCAAAATTCTTTGTCCTGAGCATGTAATAATGACAATATATTCATATAAAAAATAAACCCCAACTTTTAATCATAAGATAGGTTTGGTATGTGCTCTTAGTAATTCCGTCTGGTCAGATGCCGAAAAATGTCAACTGCACCCATAAGGTCCATAGTCAAGTGTTTCAGAATTTTCTATTTTCATTTTTAAAAATGATCTCAGCTCTGAATTTTTATATGTAAACAGAATGTCCAATTTTCAAGTCCATAGTTTCCTATTTCTATAGTCAAGGAACTTTGGTTTGAACTTTCAAAGTGACCTATCATATTTTGCTTGTACAACTGTTACTTTGTTCATTATATTTGGGTGACACTTTGATTTGTCTACATAATTTAAATAAGCTTGAAATCCTCACGTAAGGCAAGGCAGTACTTCTCTATGGCTACATCACATTCAATATCGTCAACAGTAAGCTCTGCATTACAGCACAATGATACATCAATAAAACACTATGGAAATTCTCATAAATACTGTCAAAAGAGTCAAGCTAACCTGGAAAAGACTGGCATACAGGAGGAAGGAATTCCTCAGTAGAATGCATCTCATTTGAGTCATGATGCTTTCTTGTTTGATTATCTGAGCTTATACCAACAGGCCCATATAAAACTATATTTATTGCCAAAATTATTCACTGCAATTCCTTGGTACCTTCTTGGAGATGTTTCAAAAGTTTGCTCTTCACATTTAGAACCAGGCTAACTCTATTTTTTTTTTAACATGATGGAAAACAGACCTATATTACGATCAGTCCCTAGCCAATCTGTTAGCAAACTGAGACTTCATCTGAGAAGATTACTAGTAGCCCTGAATGCTCATCCTGAATCCCTAACTTAGGTTACTTCATCTTCTACATTCAAGGTAACTGCCATCAGTGTTATAACATAAAGTATTCCTAGCCACATGGCAGGGAGGGATTTGGTAACTGCTCCCAGCTCATCATGCTAGCTGCCTGCCACCAAACACTGTTCTTTTAGTATCAATCCTGGGCTGTATCTGTTGGGCAATTGTGAGCATCTACTTACTTTTCACTCTAAGCCCCACTATTTTATTCATTTTTATGGTGCTATTGTTTGTTTTAGAAACATGTCTGAGGACTCTATGGGGGGAATAAAAACAGTCACCAAACTATACCCAAATATTTAGTTTTCCTCGAAGGCTTCAGTAGCAAGTAAGGAGACCTTCCCGTTCTAAGTGATGGTTCAGAAGCTGCTTAGTCAAAGAAGGCTTCTGTTGCCATGGTCCCTTAAACACCTCAGAAACATGTAAAAGAGCTGGTACCAAAACACCACTGAAAAGGATCATACCATGATATTTATACATTACCTTCCCCTTCATTTTTCTTAATAGGCATGTAAGTTACAATCAAAACAAAAAGCAGTGAAATATCAGCCCAGAAACTTCACATTCATTGTCTTTTCTGGAGTTGTTACGTAGCTAAAAATTAAAAGCTTACGGCAGTCAGAGGCATTAAAGTTAGGTTACCACCTTCGAACAGGAGAAGGCAGAAAATAACAATAGCAAAACACTCCATCAGCACCAGGACACAATGATGAATCCAGACTCTGGAGGCATCGAGTATCCCCAAAACCTTTAGTACCATTTGACTGGCAGTCTGGGATCTGAAACATGCTTTGGTTCACATGAAAGGTAACCATCAGGAGGTTATTTTTAGGTAATATAAAAGAAGTAGTATTTAGGAAAAATTCCAAGGGTTAATTCTGAAACCACCTCAAATGTTTCACATGGACTTTCAATGCTTGGAGATGCTCAATTATCTGAGGGAGAGTATGTGCTTATATCTCCATACATACATGTATAAAGACAGGCACATACATACATGTCTGTATGTGTATATGTATATATGTATATGCCTGCGTTCCTATGTGAAATCCTCACACACACGTACAGCCTCAAGTCTCCCCTCTCACTTGTGCACATACTATATGTAGTATCTCAGTTCTATAAAACATGACACCCTGCTTCAATGTCATTTGCTTAAGAGTGATTTGTCTGATTAAAAAATCCACAGTTCCTCAACAGTAGTTAAAATGGCGGTCAGCTGCTCTCTGGAATACTATTCCGTGTGCTTGCGTGAGGTAGACTTCCCAACCGGGTGAAGAAAACGCTGACAAGTATTAAGTTTTTTTCCGTTTTTGAATCGAAGGCCCCTTTTTGTTTTGCTCTTCTGGTGCCACAAAGGCCTTCGCAGAAGACGCTTCTTGGGGTGACCAGCCTGACAGCTCTGCCGTCTCTGACCTGGCCTCCTGAGCAAAGGGTGGTGTGCAGCCACGCCCTCCTCCCCCTTCCCTCGGTGAAGCAGAGGTGCACGGCTGGCACTCTGCCTCCTGTCTCCCCTGGGAACCGGGGGGCAGCTGGGCGACGATTCTGTGTGGGCAGTTGGCCACCATGTGCATGATGCTCTGACAGTAATGGCACTTCTTTGGCTGCGGAGGTAGACTACATTCTTTAGCATGATGGTCAAGGCCACCACAGTTGTAGCATCTGCAAAGAAATAGGAGAGAAACATCTTAAAAGTAGGTAGAGTGTATAACTAATGAAAAAAACCAGTGATTATTAAAACAATTTACAGAGATATCAATTTTAATTACAGAAGTTCAAAAGCTGTCAATGAGATCAGTTTATTTTAATGTGACTTCTTTATATGTACTATTTACACTGTTTATACTGATTGCTTCGAGGATTACCATCACCAAAATGCTCCAGCCACTTTATAAATTAGTTGTGTGAAACACAATAACCAGCAAAAAAAAAAAAAAAAAAAAAAAAGACACCCAAACACGGTATTTCCATAAAGAAATGAGTCACTCAAATGTCATGGGCTATCGTGAGAGAACAGTTTAACCCACTAGATGGCAGTCAACAATAAACCAAAACTCCACCAGCTGGCTTCAAAATTGAGTACAAAATATAGCTGTTCGTCATGGTAGGACTAAACTTGCTCAACATTTAGGAAAATTGTAGCCTGAATTGAGTTTTAGGACTTAAAGACTTCAGTGTTTATTAGTTTATCGACAGAAGCTAATAGAACTGAGATACATTTTTGCCGTTATATAAAATTTTGCAGGAAATTTGATACCTACGCTGTCTAATAAAATAAAAACAAATACAAAACTGGTATCTAATGAATCACTCAGTGTGAGGCAAGACAGTGAGAGTCCAAACCACAGCAATGCTGCAAAGAAGTCTCCGAGGATGGAGACCAAATCAGTTTGCTCTGATGCTGTTGGCGACTGGAAAAGTTGCCTTTTTCTCCTATAGAAAGTAGCTTTCCCTATGAGTAAACGTTCCTAACTTGAAGTAAGCATAAACCTCGTTCTTACTTGTTATTTGTATGTGAAAAATAAAAAGGAATTATCAAAAAATGGAGGCACTAAGGAAGCACTCGTATTTTAAAGTTTTGATCTAAGTCTTAAAGATAGAATTTGCTCATTGACTTGTTTCCAAATCAACTGTTTTGAGAAGTTTTTATATTAAATTACTTTCCAAGTACACTTATAATTCCATAATTCTCATTATAAAGCATATTATAAATCAGTGTTTTTTAAAAAATGAGAGCAAAATATGTGACAGACGTAAAAAGTAATTTAAGACCATATGACAACAAAAAATATAACTAATTATTTGTATGTTTGAGAACACCAAGCTTAGTAACTTATTTTACATTTCAAAGACAAATTAATTATTAGTAGCATAACAAGCACTGCATGTAGACACTAAGTATTTTATTTTCTAGAATCAGCTATAAATTAGCAGAAGGTTAACCATCCTCTGCTTCTCCATTTGTCAATTAGTGTTTGTTTGTTTGTTTAATGTATATGTATGCTATATAAGTATGTATGACTTTATGCCAGAAAAGGGCATCAGATCTCACTATAGATGGTTGTGAGCCACCATGTGGGTGCTGGGAATTGAACTTACGACCTCTGGAAGAGCAGCCAGTGCTCTTAACTGCTGAGCCAACTCTTCAACTACCTGTCAATATTATCTTACAGAACAGATAGGATGGGATTCTATTCTTTGTAGTAATCAATAGGCATTTATTTATCTTAATAAACTACCTCATATTTTCAAAAGTAAAGAGAAAAGTCAAGAAATAAAGTGTTCCAGTTACTTGCAGCTCAAAGTAATTTACACAACATAGTAAATTAGCAAGCACATTCAGATACAAGTACCCCACACATGACCTGAGAGGATAAAAGGAAATGATGAAAATTACCAGCCAAAGCCTGAAATTCAGGCCTCAAAACAGACTGGAAAATATCACCTATGAATATGACCACATCACTTACTCAACTGCTTTCCCACATACTTTTCTTCTATAATGAGTAGAAAAATTCTTAAATTAAAATTGTCTTTTGCCCACCTGTAAGATATCTTTTTTTTTTTCATTATATTCATGTCCTGAGGTCAAAGTACAGCTAGGAGTTCCTTTTCAAAGACAGAAAATAGAAGGCAGACTCCAGGAACAGAGCTGTTTCTCCTGCATGCACAGCAGCTTCAGTCATTGGATATGCACTTCCTTCTTCAATTCAGGGAGCCATTCTGCTCACTCACTGAACAAGGGCCTGGGTGTTTACAGATCTATGTTTACAGATGGAGTCTTAGATCATCATGTTTTGTGTGCCTGATTGTAAAAGATACTTTAAAGAAAGACACACAATTTTAGTTTCCCTGCATTTCAATGTGCATATTTACCTGTTGGACTTCTCAGGTATGTGTTAACATTAGACCCACTACCTTCCACACTGGATGATGAGCATGCACTGTTTGTGTGTGTAGCCTTAAAAGGGGGAAGCAGTATTTATTTCCCTCTTCTATTTAAGCAACAGCAATTGCTTTTACTAAGGACACAGATCACAGCCCATTATGAAACCCATCCATCCCAAGGGAATGACATAAAAATGTTAATGTTCAGCTGCATTTCAGCTCATAGATGATACCATAGCCACACATGTGAAACATGCTATACGTGGGTCTAGACCTCTTTGTTCACACTTTATACTTCTCCAGATCAGTTTGTTTTTGTTAATCAGAATGGATTTTATATTACGATGTGGGTATCAAAATAGTTAGTATATCACACACAGCTGCAGACCTAACACACACAGGACATAAAGTGTCATGATCAAGGACTACACAAAGAAAACTAGTCACACTGCTGCAGATTCCAACAGCCTGGTCTGAAAATTAAAACGATCTGTCTGTCTAGCATGCAGGAGACCTTGGAACAGATCCTCAGCAGTGTTTAAAAAAATAAACCAAATAAATCATCTCTGTTCAGTATGCTATAAAATGCTGAGCCAATGGCACCAAGTAGACTTTCTTATACACTAAAAACAAAGGTTAACAAAAAACGTCCAATTTAACTTTAGAACATTAAGTCCTTTGTGGAATCATTTGATAGATACTTTAACTCCAATGAGGCAGCACACATTCTATAAGTATTACTTACTATAATTTAGAAGATTTTAAAGATAGAAGATTAATAACAGTCAATATTTTTAAGACTACCAAATTAAGATTAAAATTTCTAATTGAGAATTCCATTAGGAGATGGAACAGAAGCCCTAAGATGGCTTAAACAAACAAAAATTTCACAGATCTCTTAAGCCTTTCAAAATATTTATTCCACTGCATTATGAAATAAGCAATTGTATATGTACATATATGTGTTGAAAGCATATCCAAACTTCTGTTATTTCTGTTTTTAAAAAATGAAAACTTTGATTTGGGAATCAGAATTTAGATGTAACTATTACTCTTAAGAAATTTATTTTAATCAAATAAATGAATAAGTAAATTGTATTTTTTTCTTTTAGAAAAGATTAATTTACCGGGCTGGAGAGAGAGGTCAGTGGTTAAGAGCATGTACTGCTCTTACAGAGGATACAAGTTCAGGTCCCCATGTTTGGGGGCTCACAACCTCTGTGACTCTAGCTCCAGAAGGATGGGACACTTGTGGCCTCTACTGGCAGCTGAACTCACTTGCATAGACACATACATACATACATACATACGTAAGTACACATATACATACATACATACATACCTAAAAATAAAATCTTCAAAAAGACTTGTATTTATGTGTATTTATGTGTGCCTGTATTAGTTTATGTGCACCATGTGTGTGTGCAGGTGCCCACAAAGGCCAAAGATGTTAGATCCACTGGAACCAGAGTTGCAGGCAGTCCTGAGCCACTTAATGTGAGTGCTGAGAACAAAACCCAGGTCCTCTAAAAGGTCAGCAAGTGATCTTAACTGCTAAGCCATCTCCAGCCCAATAAATTGTACTTCCAAGTATCAGGCATAATGATTAGAGCTGAGCTAAACTGGGAGTATTACATTAAAATGCTCTTTTGTAAACAACACTTCAATAACTATAAAGTCTTTGTTAGTTGTATGTTTTCCCTTGGCTCCAAAAGTGATTTTTTAAAAAATCAGGGAGTAGTTATACTATAGACACCCAGGTGACTGTCTAAGAATATTATGGAGAAACCATGTTGGAATGGCTCCCAGTGTTTGGAAATGATAAGGATTTACAAAGAAATTCAAATCCCTGTCTGAGCTGTTATCAGGGAGCACGGGCAGAGTGCAGCAGAAGAGGAAGGGCAAAGTCTGGAGAAAAAGAGGGATAGGAAAGGCATAATAAACTCCGAAAATGGAAGGTGAGAAGAAGCAATACAATCTCTAAACGAGAGGCCATGGGGACTTAAAGTCAGACTGGAAAGCACTGCAGAAAGCCCTCTAAAGGGCTTTACATTGTGCGATTTTGATTCCAGTTAATATAATAAGATCCAGAAACAGGGCAGAGGGTGAGCACACACAAGGTCCTGAATTCAATTCTCAACAAGCATGCACACGCACACACACACTCACACACACACACACACACACACACACACAGAGACAGAGACACAGAGAGAGATGGAGAGAGAGAGAGATGGAGAGAGAGAGATATGATACTAATATTTCAAAGATCAATAGTTTTCTGTCTAATACGTTGGAACATGATTCTGAATTCCATTATCAGTTAATCAAGCCAGCATGGTAGTGGTGAGGAATGGACGGGTTGAAGCATTTGTCAGAGAAGCCAAGAGAGCTGAGAAGTAAAAGCCTGGGGGGGAGCTTTTGTTGGGAGCACTTTCAGAAGCCCACCGTGTACCAACACCCTCTGGCTCCTAAGTTGCTGTCCAGGGGTTCACTTGTTCTCTACAGGATCTGTCTCCAAATGTTCAAAAAGAGTCATGAAATTTTAGTAAACTACACAACCAGAGAGGCCCTTTATCAGTACACTTATTTTCTAACTTCTCTCAAACAACCCGTAATAAAATTGCTTTTACATTTCATTAGTTTTTATATTCAAATTTCTTTTTAATTTTTCATTTTATGTATATGAGTGTTTTGCCTGCATACATGCCTATATCACATGTATGCTTGGTGTCCAAAGAGGCCAGAATAGAACATCAGATCCCCTGAAACTA